GTATACCAACACCTCCCATACAGCTCCCCTCCAACAGCACAGCCCCTCATAAGCCCTCATTCGATCATACACGGAGAGGAGCCCTTTGCCCTTCGTTATCTCTCCTCTCCAGCCAACGAAATGATGGCCATTTGCGGGTGTATGGCAGCCCGGAACAAATCGCAAAAGCCACTGGGTGCGGGGCTCTTCTAATACCGACATCAGGACTACATCCGAAAAAATAGTGACCCTCCCGAAGCGTTCAAAGAGGCTGGCTAGCTGGGCGCCGCAGACTTGTGGATACCTCGGAAAATTCACTCTCTGCCTTTCTAGCCTCCTTCCAGCCTCCTTCTAACCCCATCCCGAAGGTCGTGCTGAAATGTCAGAAAAGTCTAGACAGAGTGTGATTGCTGCATGGTAGCTCAGCCCAACTTCTTTTGTGCCGTTCAGGACGCTGGGAAATGCCGTTGACTCGTCGAAAATTGAAGCCCTCCTAACTAGTAAAGCGAAATCTCGATCTTGGCGCCCACCAACGGCCCAAAGTCGAAAAGATCTCGAAAATACCAGACCTATCATTCTCATGAGAGGTCTCTTCCTTTTATTTTTCCACGCTCCCGTCGCCTGTTCTTACAAAATGAGCTCGCCTTTGGGTTTAATACTGACTCCGCTATCCGCATGTAAATGGAGTATGGTCTATGAATACTACGCTTGCAGATAGTTGAATTTAGCTACTAGAAAAGATGCTTCGCATGCTATTGTGTGCTAGAAGATAGAGAGATGTATAGACAAAGATGGCTGTGTACGTTCTACTCAATATCCTGCGGACCACAACTAAATTACTCTCCCATGACCCTTACAGGTTCACAGCATATTCATCCCACCAATCATAGCGCAGCTAATCCTGTTTGTGCAGCAGTCTGCAATAACATCCGCATGAATCACCATAGCATAAAGTTTATGCAGATATGCATAAAAAATTATGTGCTATTCCTAGACCACAATACCTGTCCTTCCCCAAGATGTATAGCCCTATTAGAGCAACAGTACCCCATAAACCAAGACCTCGACTCTGTCTACTATGAATTAATTTTAAGGGTTGGATGGTGCAATGGTACGCCATTCGGGCCATCCTCCCAAGTAAATGCTGGGTAGCTTGAACACTTACCCCATTTGAGACAGAAGAAAGCTGGTTCAAATCCAGGAAGACCCACACATCATACTCTCTTGCGGTGATGTTGTACTTGTGGGACGATGAAAGCACAATCGGATAGCCACAGGGTTTTCACGCTTTTCCCAATTGTCTATTGGAAAAGATTGAAAAAACAGTATTTATCAAAACAAGTGAATTTTGGCGGTTTAATGTCTACTTTTAGCAGTCCTTCATAGTCTTAGACTCAGTAGGGACTTAAATTTAATTCTATTCTATTCTATTTTATTCACGCTTTTCCCTGCGGTGGGTATACGCGGAAGAGGTTACACGCCGCAAGGGTTAACCTCGAGTAGTATCTGCGATTGAAATCTGAGTGTGAGTGTTCTAAACGTCAAATTGATTCATCCTACTAAAAGTAGATACCTTCCGATAAACCCTGAATGGGCCCCAAGGCGCCAAACCAGGATAACGAATAATTTATTTTTATTTATGACTCAACTTCCTCTTTGCGGGTATACGTAGCGTTGTAAATTTGTGGTGGGTCATGGTCAGTAACGAATGAGGCAAGCTCCTATTTGCAATAGGAGTAACGCCTTTATCGGACGTTGAGGCGAGGGGGTGTGTGGAGAGGTTAAGGTAGAGGACTCTCGTGAGCATTACAAGACCGGCATTGATGAGAAGTCGCCGATTGTAGATGTATCTGTGTTTGCTTTCGACTTCGATTCTAACGCGATTCCTCTTGGCTATCTCAGATATGCAAAGCATACTGAGTGATTACACCGGCACCACTGGAAGGTGAAGGATTCGTCTTTGCCGGCAAACTATACCAGAGAACACCACTAGGAGGCGGACCACGGCACCTTCCATCGTTGACTTGTGTTTATAGTGCCAGTTGCACCCTCGCAAGCGAAGCCTTGACGTGCACAAAGCTCAATTTGTAAAATCTTCTTGCTGAAGTTCGAGATTTCACGCCCATCGAGTTTACATCCATCCCCTGCATCATCTTGTGAACTTGTCCTGATCCTTCTCACGTCTATCCCAAAGAACTGTCTCCCAGATTTGTGCGCCACGCTTTGCTTCCTCCGTCGGGTGTAAATATCGGCGTGGGCGTGTATTTGCTGGTCAGCTGAAGCCAGAGAATTATAGATGTGAGGTGTGACCGTTGAAATGAGGATGTACTAGGTCTTACTTGTAGACTTGATGGGACTTAGGTAGGAGTCGAACTCGTTGGGTGGGCGAGTTTGATTTCGTAGAGGCTCTTGAATCACTGCCTCGTGGGCCAACTTCTATCGTATTACGAAATTTGACTAAACTTGGCTCTGGGGGAATACTTCACTCCCAGGTTTGTCGAGGATACCACGTACAGGTGTTCGGTTTTGCCCTCCGTGCCCACACATTGAGTCTGTAAATAACTACTCTTTTTACTGTTTCGATATCAAGGCCTCTCTTGCGAGTACAATCTTCGTGACCAGAATAGTCTGATTTGAGACTCGTGTTAGTTATTCTTGACATATAAAAATCGCCCAGCATGAGAGTGGCTTATCCTTTATCAAACATCATGCATCTCGTCGTGGCACCTTAACTTCCCGTACTATACTTCTAGCCCTGCTTCGCTACAGTTGACTGCATTCAATAGTTCCTACTGGTATATCTCTCATCCTAAACAGGAATAGATGGGTCGCTACGTCTTACCCTATGAGCTTGGTAGGCAATGAAGAATATCGAATGACGGTTATATGTTTGCTCAGATCAGCCTCGTGTGCCCGTGGCCTTCTTCCCAAGATGCAACGAAGGACTCTGTCCGTTTTTCATGTAGAGTTTACATCTGTCTGTTGGATGCTATGACGAGCTGCGGCCTGACGTGATTTTCCACTAACTACAAAACTGATGCACAATATTTGTTTTGAATTTCAGAAGAGCTAGCCCCAGGCTTCTTAAACGCTCTTTTCGCTCCTCCCCGATAGATTGAGTCGACACGGCGCCGTCCGCTGAGTAGCTTCCACAGACGGCAGATCTACAAGCTGTATTTCTTGAGATTTCAAAGAAGAATAGTTCTCCTTTGGAACGGAAGGGAATTGCTCGCATCATTTATTCGTTCATTACTAACCTATTTTTAAAATTGCACATAAATAAAGCTATTTATAGAAATTTAAAATATGGAGAAATTGCGCGTCTCACTTCCTCTAGTCTAGTAAGTAGTAACATCGGCAAGCGTAAAGTTTATACATTTGTCATGAAGACGAGAATGGAATATTGTCCTGTATCATAGTAGCTGGGGATCCTTAATGTTGTCATTAAGCCAAAACACATGGAAATACTTCTCAGGCATGCCAAGTTCGGTTTTTAAGTCGTACACGTCAGCCTGCCTATTCCAATCTCTTTTGAAATTAAGGTTTGTCGTGACAGGTTGCTGCATGACAATTGTAGATCTTAAGGTCCAGCAGGCTCTTTGGATGGCCCGTGTCACATCACGTGACAATATTATAGAGATATAGTTGCCAAAAGTTGAGTATGTAGGCGATTGTTATTCGTTCACATTGTAGTGGGCTACTCTATGTTCGCTAATTTTGCTATAGCTCTTAGGTCTAGGTTAAGCTCAGTGAAATACAGTCTATAACGCGATACTTCTGTGCCTCCCAAGTCATTGTGCGAACTAATCCACAGGTCACATGATCTGTTATTTTTATATGGTGGCAAATCGCATGATACAAAACTTACGGCTTGTTGCAGCGTCTTTTGTCTCAGTAGGAACTTAATAGGGTTACTCGCTTGACGCGTGATCCGCCAGACGTTAAATAAAGATAAATAAATACGGCTTGTTGCTATGTTCGCTGTGATTTTAGGGGAAATTCTTCCATGAGGGCCCCATGCTCCGTTTAGACAATGAGGCATTTTACTCTCATGGGCGCTGAAAAGAAGTCTAGCCAAGTTGGACAACCAAGCCAAAACACTATTGTGGGTCTCTTGATCCATTTCTTCTGGCTTTGATGTCTCAGGCAGCTCATCTAGTCATCAGTAGTTTTACCACCTTAGCTTCCGGCAATACTGAAACCCGAAATGTTGTTGAGATGAGACGGCGACGGTGTGACGGCTACAGGCTCAATATCGTGCAGATGAATGTGACAACTTGTAGTAATTCGTCTTAACCCATGAGTTGGTAATCGCCTCAGGCCCCTGTTAGGCGAGAAGCTTGGGTACTCATCTCTCACCCCGTCAATGCCATCATCACTCAGTCATTCCGACTCATCATCATCTATCGCTACTGGCAAGCTTGTTATTTGCATTATTAACACCACCGCTTTCATTGGAGTCCGGAACTTGATGGTATCCTGCCGCGCATCCTTCAACCCTGATTATTCTCAAGAAAATCTTCCATCTAGAAAGGCCGGGACAAGATTGAAAGAAGCCTCGTGAGCACTCGCTAGGGTACCATGCCTGTCATTTGCCGGTGGTTGGCTTTAATCGGGTGGTTGACCTGTACAAGAATGGGATGAGCACGCGACCTGCCCAAGTCAATGCTAGGATCAACGTGGTAGGAAAGCATCGCTTCAGTTTCGACACACTATACTTACTCAATCTGAACTTTCGTCCCCGATCCCCGACAATGTCTCTCAGAGCCTGAAAGTTGCCTCTAACTACGTGACCCTAGGATACTCGGCAGGGCTAGTGTCCGGATTAATTCAAACCAAAAGCCGATAGCGCACGAGCGTAAGTCGATCTCTATGCTCAATAGTTGACTACGCGGGGTTTCGGAAAATGTGAATGCCTGGACCGCAACTGGCCATCTATTACTTAACAAATGAATGCAGGTTCCCACAGGGCTCATCGCTGAACTCAAAAATCACACAAGGAGATCATTAAACCACTCAGCATGACTACATTTTTTTGGTGGAAACCTGGGCTACGATCAGACAGAAAGTACTTATTTATTTGCTTGGTGAACAAAGTCACAGAAGCGCTAATTAAAGACTTCCCGACTCTTAAACGCAACTCTAGTGTCATAATTCATCATTATCCGGAGAAGCTCGGGGGATTTATGATGACTATCAAACATAGAAACGTGTGGCATCCACGAAATGCCTGGGCATACTGGGGGCATTTGTTGAGAAGTAATGAGAGGTCATAAGTTACATGTGTATTTGAAGGTTATACTTAGTTTGCGAGTAGTATATCATCAGATCTTGATAGAGAAAGCCTCATGACGCTGATTGTTTGAGGATAACGCCAAGAGAACCTCACATTGTCTCTGAGCATTCAAACAACATCTGGGAGAGGCCGGCTTATGTTGAGAAAGAACCGTTGCAAAAGATAATATTCTCATACGACGTCAACAAGTATGGCTGGCAATAAAGAGATACCAGCCTATCGCTGCGAGGTGATTGAGTAACAGAGATTGCAGGAACCTTGCGCAGCTCATGTGCATGATCTGGAAGCTCAGAAAATCATTTTTCATGCGCGTCAATTGGCTGGTAACGACGAGTTAACATTGCTATCTAGTGTCAAGTTTACTGATGATAGCTTCACCGCTCCATTTACGTGGCGATCCGGTAATAGGAAAACCTCAGCGTAACAATATGTCTGTTACACACCTGTCCCACATACGTACACGCATATTCACTTTGTTACCTTCTCCTATCACCTCAGATGACCCGCAGAATCTCCGTATCTTGAGCAATAACCTTCCATAGAAGATGACATGGCATAGAAAGGTATGCAGATACAATCGGCTATTTCTTATTCAGCGTAAACTGACTCGTCAGAAGCCCAACCCGGCCCCGACAACCTGATTCGTCGAGTAACCCAGATCACGTGAACTTAAACCATCCCATACCCATCCCGCTCGCCGACGCGCCCAAATGCTGCACTCCCTAGATTCAATCTCCTTGTCCCACCAGCTTGTGGATTTACACTTGCCAAAACCCCTTCCACAACTCTTGCTAAGACTTCTCACGCCAAACATCGTCTCGACTTCCATAACTTAAGTCTAGCAACAATCTTTTGCTCTCAACGGATCGTACCCGTTACAGGTCGACAGCAGACTTCGCATACTCAGCCATGAAATAAGACTCCGTTTCTTCTCATACAAGAGGAGCGCTGAATTCATCTTCTCATCAAACTTTTCCTCTAGAAGTGTATCATTATGACTCTCACACCCCCGCCCGACGTCTATAATACACTCGGCGTGAACCGTGGTGCAACTGCGGCTGAAATTCGGAGCTCCTACCGTAAATTAGTACTTACATGTCATCCAGACAAAATTCTCGACTCGTCTTTAAAGGCAGCAAAGCAAGCCGAGTTCCAAAAAGTCCAAGAGGCATATGAAATACTCAGCGATGAGAACCGCCGACAAGATCATGATGAGAAGGTTCAGATTTATGAGTTGAGAAAAGAAATGGGAAGAGGCAATCCAACTGCCCGAAGTAACCCATTCGAATTTGAAGTAAAGACGCCAAAGTCAACAGAACCATCAAAACCGAAGTCAAGCTCATCTACGTCTTCAATAAGAGTCTATACCTACACCAACCCTCATAATACGTCGAAATCTAGATCACAAGAAGATACCAAATATCAGAGCAAAAACACGTCGAAAAAGCCACCCAGCGAGAACCCAGATCGTAAACGTTCCTCTACCAAGGATGATGAACAGAGAAGGGCTGCACATGCCAAAAAGCTAAGTGAGGAACTAGAGAAACAAAGAGAAAAAGAGCTGAAACGAGAGAAAAAAAAGGCCAAAGAAAAAAAGGAAAAAGACAGGAAGCGGGGCTCAGAAGAGAAGCGTTCGAAGAAGACCTATGCATTTGTCGAAGATGACACAGAAGATGATCCTCTCTTCCCACCATTTTCCGACTCAAAGCCTAGTAAATGTGATACTGATGACCTGCATGACGATGGTATGAAGCCCCGCGATGAGAAATCTGCTAGGGCCAAAGCATCACCAGGCTCTGGGAGGAAGGAGAACTTTCACACTCAGCATGCTCCACGCTCCACCGAGAAGAAATCCAGTCGAACGTCTGCAACGGATATCTCATTGAATGAAAAGTGGAATGGACATCGAGAATATGCTGCAACGTATATGGAGGCTGTTCGACAAAAGGCTGCAGCTCCTGAAGTACCTACCCCACCTCCTGGTCCGCAGCGAGCACAGAGTTATGCTATGCCAGAATCCAGTGTCTACAACATACCTTCTCCTCGGTACACTACCATTCCCAATGCGTCATTTTCACCGCGCTATTCAGCCACTTCTATTCCCCCGCCGACCCCTCGATACAGTGAAGAAGAGTCTATAAATCGTTCGTCGAGGCGTCGGGAAAGAAAATCTTCATCTGATATGCCATCTACACGCAAAAAGACTAAGGATGTAAGGTCAGACTCCTATCCAGGAGAACTCCGCCAACCTCCTATCGTTGAGCCCCCCTTACCTCCACCTTCTGGGAGGAAAGCATTTCCTAATGAAAAGCCCTCAATGTCTGAAAAGTACGGTTATGCTCAAGCGCAAGACAGTGCTCACCGCTCTGGCACAATACCTCCCTTATCAAGATCTCAAACATATACTGAACCTCAGAGCCGATATAGGAAGCCTGAGCTTAGCTCTGAGTCCGAGTCTGAATCTCCGTCTGTGCCTCGTTACAAGCATCAATTCCCCATAAACTATTCCCTCGGAAATGATCGTGCCACTGCGGCCAACACGAGTCGTTATCACTCAGAACATCGGCCTGTAGATGAATATTTTCCCATGCGAGGTGTTTCTCCTCATTCAAGTCCACATCTATATCGAAATCCCTCTGTCAGTGATTATCGTGGCTCGCACTCATATACTCAACATTGTTATTACCCGCCTGAAACCGAACACTACGCTCGACATTCACATCAGTACCCTCTCCAAAGAGAGCCTATCAGCCAACAGCCACCTATTGGGAATATAACCTTCGCACAGCCTTTCCAGTACGAAAATTTAATCTTTGCCAAAACCCCAGCAAAATTATATAGAAGTCAAATCGACGGGCGTGGCTGAAGTCTTGGAATGAAGAATAGTATACTTGAGATGGGATACAATAGATCATTGTGTTCCTTGTTTTTCACTTTCATCTGAGGAGTGAAAGGATCAAGACTTTTAAACGAAATTTCATGATCAGTAACGATGACGACTTATTTTCCCTTAGTCTTATCTGTTTCTCTTATAAATGCACCAAATCGAAAATACACCTTTAATGGAACCTGAAGCGGATTTCTAAAACTTCAGCAACCTTAGATAAGATTACCGACATATTTGTCCCTATCCATATCCACAAACTTCACTATAATGTACCGACAAGTTACGTAGATAGATTGTACATATGTCTTGCAGATATGTGTATTCACGCTAAATGATATTTTCTTATTTCATCTACCGAGTTAGCGGTGATAAACTAGCTCATGAGCTGCCTGGTTGCATATGTAAACTGTTGCTCAGAGAAATAAACTTGACTGGATAACGAATAATGGTGTCACATGGTAAATCTCTGAATATAGGGATGGCAAGGAATGATAGATGACAAAGGAGCAAGTTGGAATCTTTGCAGCACAACTGAACTTTTAACAACTATTTGTTAGCCGGATCAGTTATAAACCCATACTACCCTAAAATTAATGCCTAGCTGATACTAACGTGGCAACATGTAATCCTGTTCCTCACATAGATACGATGTAGCAGGTGTGCAAATGAGTTTGTAGCCCATAGTATTGTCAGTCTTGACGCGCGCAACACAGATTGCAAAAAGAGAGGCATGTCTCGATCTACATTACTGTACGTTACCCTAGACGCTCTCCCTGCCATTACGCTATCCTGCACTATCAGATGCAGTTTCTCGAATATAATCACGTGAATATATCAAGGGGGACAACGCCAAGCCATTGGGAACGCTTGGAGCAAAGTTATGCCCGGGCTTAAAGTTCTCATCCATTTTTCGTTGAAGACCCTCTCGTCAATGCTATGATAAATTCTGTGCTCAAGACCTAAACATCAAGAACTGTAAGCTCCTTCCGAATTTCAACGCATCGGAAATCCTTGCCGCTCTATCACTACTACAATCTTCGGATTCACTTGCGACATGCAAGTAGCTCGTGATGAAAGGGGGGTAGCAGAAACTGACACTATTGATAGCGATAAAGTAATCAATGCTAGCTAAGAAAGGGCGTCCCTGTAATATTCTAATGCTCCAAGTTTTTATGATTATTGTACAATTGAGTCTAAAACTAAGCAGGTCATGTAGGTCTCTTTCTCATAGAGGCCAGGAATATCTTTGGCTCGGTTAGTGTATTACTGCCTGCAACCCTTCAAAATATCCATCCAACGGTAGTGTCCCATAAGGTTTCGATTTGAGTACACACTTACCGTAGCTTTTATCCCTTCCTTAGGAGGGCAAGACTGAACACCTGTACGCGGTGTCCTCTACGAACCTGGGAGTGAAATATTCTCCCAGAGCCAAGTTCAGTCAAATTTCGCAATATCAAAGAAGTTGGCCCACGAGGCAAAAATCCAAATTACTCCTCCACGTCGTTATTTCGCTCCCAACGAATTTGACTCCTATCTTCGTCTCATCGAGTCTACAAGTACGACCAAGTACATCCTCATTCCAATGACCACACCACTCTTCGACCTTCTCTGGCCTCAGCTGGTCACCAAATACACGCCCACGCCGATATTTATACCCGACGGAGGAAGCAAAGCGTGACGCACAAATCTGGGAGACAGTTCTTTGGGATGGACGTGAGAGGAATCAGGACAAGTTTACAAGATGATGCGGAGGAAGGATATAACCTCGAAGGGCGTGAGATTCCGAATTTTGGCAAGAGTTTTACGAATTGAGCTTTGTGCGCGCCAAGACTTCGCTTGCGAGAGTGCAGCTGACACTATAAAAACAAGCCGACGATGGAAGGTGTTGTGATCCGCCTCCTGGTGATGTTCTCTGGTATAGTTTGAGTAGCCTGGGCACCTACTCCACTTGGGAAGGAGACATCTCAGATTACATTTCGCGCGGAGAAAAGTTGATGGATGACGGAGGCATGTCTGGATAACTCAGGGTTTTTGAGACGTTCCCCTGGGTGGGTATTCACGGATGAGGGTTGACTTGGGGTGAAGAAAAAGCCACCATAACTTCGCAGTGGTACCTGCAAATGAAATCCGAGGCATGAGTGCTCTTCCTTTACGTTGAATCATCTATTCTGTACTTTTCTTTGATATTGTGTCATAGCTAGATAGCTGCATACGCAATTAAAATCTGATGCAAAAAAAAAAAAAAAAAAAAAAAAAAAATCCCTTCCTTATCCACCTTCTCCTGCCTACACAACGATAGCTAATAGCAAGTGTGTAGCTGCATAGAGGCTCTCACAAACATTTGGTTTGAGGCCCTGCTACTATCGATATTGGGACTGAATTTGAAGATATAGTTATCCTCCTGAAGCTTTGTAAGAAGCTAGCCGGCCGAGCGCAGCAAACTTGTGTTTACCTATACGCTTCTGTTTCCCTATTTGTGTCGCAGGACAAATGAAAGATCGTGTAAGCATGTCAGGAAAGCCCTAGGCAAAAGCGAGTTCTCCCAAACAGGTTCGCCTAGCATCCAAAGATCGGTATGAACGTTGGGTTATCGAGTAGCTCGCGCAGTTTTGCTGCGCTTCTTGCTAGTCTGTTTCGGAATAATGTGATTATAAGAGGATAATGTCGACGAGTCTACCCTTGCCTTGGATTGGTTTGCTCGCCGATGAATGTCATGCGCAGGAGAATGACAAAGTCTTGCCTTGCCCCTATGGTAGCGTATGTCACGCACATTCCCTCTTCTTCGCCAGCATCATTATCGTAGTCGTGGTCCTCGGAGTGTGGTTTGTCGTTCTACTTGTTACCCTCATTTGCCTTGCAGATTCGGTATTTCGAGTTGATGTGAAATTATAAAATAGTCTTGGCATGATCTAACGGTACAGGGAGCTTTTGCCGGCAAAGACGAATTCTTCACCTTCCAGTGGTGCCGGTGTAATCGCTCAGTATGCTCTGCATATCTGGGATAGCCAAGAGGAATCGCGTTAGAATCGAAGTCGAAAGCAAACACAGATACATCTACAATCGGCGAATTCTCATCAATGTCGGTCTTGTCACGCTCACGAGGGTCCTCTACCTTAACCTCGCCTCAACGACCGATATAGGCGTTATCTAATTTCAAACAGGAGCTTGCGTCATTCGTTACCGACCATCACCCACTACAAATTTACGACGCTACGTACACCCGCAAAGAGGAAATTAAATCATACTACCTAAAGCTTGGATCTTGATTTGTGGGTGGCTGTTTCTCGAACCAGACTTTACGACTTGAGAGAGGACAGGAGTCTAAGGTGTGGAATGAGAAGGGAGAAAGGTCTCTGAAGATCATGCTGAGACCGATATTTTCGAGGTGTTATTGACTTTGGAACGTTTGCGGGCGTCAAGATCGGGATATCGCCTTACTAGTTAGGAGGGCTTCAATTTTCGACGAGTCAACGGCATTTCCCAGCGTCCTGAACGGCACAAAAGAAGTTGGGCTGAGCTACCATGCAGCAATCACACTCTGTCTAGACTTTTCTGACATTTCAGCACGACCTTCGGGATGGGGTTAGAAGGAGGCTGGAAGGAGGCTAGAAAGGCAGAGAGTGAATTTTCCGAGGTATCCACAAGTCTGCGGCGCCCAGCTAGCCAGCCTCTTTGAACGCTTCGGGAGGGTCACTATTTTTTCGGATGTAGTCCTGATGTCGGTATTAGAAGAGCCCCGCACCCAGTGGCTTTTGCGATTTGTTCCGGGCTGCCATACACCCGCAAATGGCCATCATTTCGTTGGCTGGAGAGGAGAGATAACGAAGGGCAAAGGGCTCCTCTCCGTGTATGATCGAATGAGGGCTTATGAGGGGCTGTGCTGTTGGAGGGGAGCTGTATGGGAGGTGTTGGTATACTTGGCCTGTAGGCAGAGAGGACCTGCATGTCCTACATAGCCATATACTCAGACAGGACAATCAAATGAAATAATAACAGCGGTACAGGGCTGAAAAGTCAGCCTCGTGTAATTTTATCGTATCAGATTTGAATTGCGTGTGCAACTAGCTAGCTATGATACAATATCGGAGAACAAGTACAGAATAGATGACTCAATTTAAAAGAAGAGCACTCATGCCTCGGATTTCACTTGCAAGTACCACTGCATCGTTATGGCGGCATTTTTCATCCCAAGTCAACTCTAATCCGTGAATACCCACCCAGGAAAACGTCTCAAAAACCCATTGTCATCCTGGCGTGCCTCTATCAATCTGTTTGTCTCCCTGCGAAATGTGATCGGAGGCGTCTCCTTTTCATGTGGAGTAGGTGCCTAGGCTACTGAGGCTTTGCCAAAGATCACCACGAGGAGCCAGATCACGGCGTCTTCTATCGATGGCTTGTATTTAAACTATCAGTTGTACTTTCGCAAGCGAAGTCTTGGCGCACATAAAGCTCAATCTTTAAAACTCATTGCCAAAATTTGAAATTTCACACCCGTCAAAATTGTATCCGTTGTCTGTGTCGTCTGCATCATCTCGTGAACTTGTCCTGATCCCTCTCACGTCCATCGCAAAGAATCGTCTCCAAGGTTTGTGCGCCACGCTTTGCTTCCTCCGTCGGGTATGGATATCGGCGTGGGCGTGTATTTGGCGATGAGCTGAGGCCAGAGAATAGTCGATGAGAGTTGTAGTCATCTGGATGAGGATGTACTAGGTCGTACTTGTAGACTTGATGAGGCTTCGGCAGGAGTGGATCTCGTTGGGTGGGGGGGTTTGATTTCGTAGAGACTCTTGAATCACTGCCTCGTGGGCCAGCTTCTATTGTATTGCGAAATTTAACTGAACTTGGCTCTGGGAGCATACTTCACTCCCAGGTTTGTGGAAGAAACCGCGTATAGGTATTCAGTCTTACCCTCTTATTGTTGGCCTGTATTCATAGTGTCAGCTGCGCTCTCGCAATCAAAGTCTTGGTGCGTACATAGC